TCTTCGTCGTTTACGGTTTTCTTCTTTTCCTCCTCAATCCAACATCGAATTGCCATAATAGATGTCTTCCGCGGAATTGTTCTTCGTAGGTAAAAAGTTTCTTATTGTAGAAACAGCAATGCTCTTTCCTTCACCGAGTAACTTATGGATTTCAAGCACCATTTTGTTAAATAAAAATTTTGAATCCGATTTAATTCTTTTTTCGTATAATAGGATTAAATTATTCCACAAGTTTTCGATTTCTGGTGGATAGTTACGTTGGCCAATTTGTTTGTTAGTCTTAGATTTTTTTCTTCGGCTCAACTAAATTGATTATTTTATCAATTTTTTGATTTATATTACGCAGCTGATCTTTGTGAATTTTAAGGGAATATCCGAGGATAATTCTGATCAATAATCCAAGAATAAATTCGCTTGTGAGAGCAAACATTTTAAAATGAAGAAGTTTGTTGGATGGATTTTTGTAAAGCAGTTCGCGAAGCTTTTTCGTAAACTAGCTCAATTTCTGTCGATTTTTTATAGCAAATCTTTTCGAGTCACAATATTCTAACTAAACGAGACATTTTGAAAGTTCCCAATAATACGTCATTGATTAAGCCACTGATCGGCGTTAGTATATCGCGCATCTTTCCAACGAAAACGAAAAATGGCAAAGACCAATTTCGAAGACTTTCTTCAGTTTCTGGAAGACAACGATCTTGCGGTGGTAAAGGAAAAGATAAGTACCAAGACTTGGGAATACATCATTGGGCTGGATGCTGCAGAAGTATGGGAACAGCTTGGTGCATCACCCATAGACGCAAGAAGCATCGTCAGCTTCATAAAGAGACGGTGTCAAGGTAAGAGTTTTTGTGGCGAAGGCGTTGGATACATGGGATGTAACGACTTTGTGACTCGGGCGTTGGGAACGTAGAGTAGTGTGTACGTAGGTGTGTTGACATCTCTCCATTCATGTATTCTGTCTGCAGTTATACCACCCGTTCGACGTCTTGAATCTTACGTCGTAGAGCCAGTTGATGATGCAACCTTTCGGTTTGACCTCCCTTTGGATCAACCAATCCACATACTAACGAATGAGCTGGAACATTACCTGCCAGCTGACTACTTCCGCGAGATTCAACAGTCCGAATCACATTCCATCATAAAGCCCTCTTTTGACTTTCATGGTGATATCCAGCATCATGTGCTAAAAATCTTAAAGAACGAAAAAGAAGGTGGCTCTGAAGACGGCCTTCATGGTCGGGATGGTGGTATCCTTGGCATCATCAGTTTACTTTCTGGACTTGATTCAAATCGAAACATGACTTGTAGTAGTACTCTGAAGAGAAAGCGTGTTGATGCACATGTGCATGAAGTTCCCATAGTACTAATGGAGGAGAGTACAACAAATATGATCTTACAATAGCTAAAAATGAACTCAAGACAAAATTTTCATGGTCCCCTCATTACTGTGACTTACCGTTTATCATTGCTATCGCAGTGGCTTATGACATAATTTCATTTAATAAACTTAATCGTGCACGTCAGCTGACCAATGAGTTTCAAATGGATCTTTCTAAAGGCAAACAGGCGGCTTTCCGGTGAAATACTTTCAGTTTGAGTACTTCGATTTCTTTTACTGTCATGCTTCCATATTTTAATTCTGTTTTATCTTTATCTCACACAGTTGTATTCATGCCTGCATCAACGTGGCACGTTATAGTAAATGGGCGATAACACAAGTTGCTTCATCTCCTGAATATGGATTCGGTGTGCCAAACATTCGTGAACCAGAATCAGATGGTTGGTGGGGTCGCATGCTCACTATAAACTACTCAAGTGTTGTTAAAGTCTACTTTGGCATGCCGACGCATGAAATAGATAGGTGTGTTTTGGTATGATGGTATATCCATGTTTGTTTGCGACTTGAGTAATTGTTGCATTTGTTCACCTCATCTATTGCATTGTATACTAGGATTATATCTTTCTATAATGCAACTCGAGGTATCGAATATTTAGAAACTGCCGAAATACAACGATCAGGACGAAATCCAAAAGCAAACAATCGATTGGAACTTCAGCTTGAAATGACTCCTGTGGGGATTGTGAACTTTGTAAAGACACTTCAACAGCTACGTGAAGCTATGTACTGTATTGTGCATTGTGTTCATGCTGTTCATGAACGTGGATGGAGTATAGTGGATCTACGTTGGCCAAATATTGTAGCAGTAAAAGGCATATTCTATGTTATTGATTCTGGCGAATTCGCACAACGACATGGCAACCCCATTCACAGTGACCGTCTGAAATTGCGTGACCCGCGGTCTGTTTCCTGCAGCTGTGCTACTGATACATATATGCTAGTCACAATGATGGATGAACTAAGTGACTTGTGGCATGGTAACATGAATGGTCGGTCATTTTACGAAGCGTTAAACAAGTGCTACCAAGAAAACTCTTCATTGGCATCTGTTTTAGACAACAGATTTCTTTCTAAGCCTTGATGTTATATATAAATTACGTGCTATATGCACCTTTGACCTCTTCGCTTTGTAAAAAAGAAACAAACTTATTTTGAAATTTACTGGCGATTTCGGATAGAAACTCTAAAAACATGTAGTTCCGAAAGCTTTAATAAAAGAGTATAAAAAATCTAAACCTCATAAAATTAATATATAGGATTACCCGTATATGAAAAATAGCGAATATAAAAAGGCCACGCGTTTCTTAGAGATAGGTTGCAAATGTAGCTGTTCAAAAATGATACCGAGAGTAAATTTTGCCGAATTACGTGAGGCGTTTCAAGCTCTCTCTAGATCCGAACAAGATATATTCTTAATGGCCCAGCTGAAAGCAATGAATGGTGGAGAAATAACTGGCAGTCGACGTCTTAAAAAGAAAACGCGTACTAATAAGCGAACGTTTTACTACTGAGATCGTAATACTCCACTTTGTCAGAAAACGTATCTCAATATGTTAGGAATTGGTCGCACTCACTTTGAAAACGTTAGAAATCACCTAGCGACGAATGGTATCATACCGCGCGTTCATGGTAATATAAAACGAATGCCGCGATGGAAAACCAAAATAACCATTAATATAACTGTTGCTACTGCAGTGAAGAATTTTCTCGAAAACTATGCGGAAATTCATGGACTGCCAAGTCCGGGTAGAAATGTCAATCGCATTACTCAATCGCTTACACTTCTGCCAGCCGAAACGAGTTATAAATCGGTTTATCGTAATTTTATTGCAGGTCTCGAAAACGATAGTACGTTGGAATTGTTAAAATATGATGCTTTTCAACGAGGGAGAGGACGGACAGTGGTTGGCCGAGCTGAAGAGGAAACTGCGGAAGGAGGAGGGGACTGCAGCGCAGCGGGCAGAGTGGAAGGAGGAGAAGAAGACGCTGGAAGAACGGCAGAAGCTGCTACAGGTGGAGGTAACGAAGTGCGCGGATGATGTTAGAAGGTGCCGAGAGGCACTCTTAGCGGCGACAACAACTCAAACAGGTAACGACTTTGTGACTCGGGCGTTGGGGACATAGAGTAGTTTGTACTTAGGATAGACACGGCAATATATGGTTTTCTTTATTATAAATATTTCTGTAGCTGCTCTTTCAAGAAAGTCGAGAGTATTTACTTTTTGATTTTTTCCTCTCTAGGATTCGAGCATCGATATGCCAGCCCATCGGTAACCTCACGTGCTCTTAGAATGCGACAAGACGATTGTTATGACCATATAGGCCAGGACCTCTCATTCTTGGAAGAACTGGATGCCGAAGAAACAAGAAATGTCGATGAGAAGTTTAATTACTTCCAAGCCAATGACCCCCCAAACCCTCAGTGGCGTAAAATCCAACCATGGATTCAAAAAGTATACCAGTCTCTCGCGCAGCTCTTTGGTTTAATTGTTATTCATGAATCTCGGAATGGTGGTCAAGAAGGTAGTAAGTTTGCCGACCATTACCTTACATACGAAGAATTCTCACAATCTTGTGACGGCAGCTGCACCCAAATCGACTTTACGAAAAACTGGGCATTCGAGGACAAATCGAACTGGCAAAGCGCTTGCACAAACAAAGCAGCCCTTCAATGTTACGATTATTCCAGCAAATTCTTCGCACCTGACAATAATAAGCAGCGTAAATATATCTCTATCATGCCTGATTCAAGGAAGTACAGACTGTGGTATGCCTTCTGGAATTATGAACAAGGACAAATGAACGCGAGAGAGACTGCTGACTATGAGTGGTGTCGGGACACTCTACGTATCTTAGCGCGCGTATTCAAAACCTTTACCACAATCGATCTGCGTGCTGCTGCATCTCCCCGAAATTTCGGGAATATAGGTTCAACTAAAGATATTTCCTCAACGGCTTCATACAATTCAGGATTTAATATTTTATTTGATCGACGTGCCAGAACCGAAGCCCTTTACGAAATGCTTGTAGAACACGGCCTTCCATTCGTGACAACAGCAGACGGTGACATAAAGGCGTCTCGGCTTTTGGGCCTTGGGTCGGATACTGTCATATTCGAAGCACGCACTGTATGTAATGAACGAGTCGCCCTCAAATTCAGTTTCGGTTTCACTTCGGAAGTTCTGGAGCGTGAATCACAAGTATTGAAGACACTCAAGGACGTCAAGGATATTCCGAAGTTACTATACGAGGACCTCGATTCAATACGTCCATATATTGTTACTAACATGGTTGGCAGGAAAATCAACAAGATAGATGTGCCAATTGCATGCAAAATCATCGTTGATATTCTTCAAATTCTGAAGACCCTTCACGAGTACGGTTATATCCATAACGATATTCATCCCGGGAACATCGTAAACGTTAACGGTAAATATCGGTTAATCGATTTTGGCTTAGCTATTCCACGATCCAATAAGAGAGAAAATGTCCCTAGTGATTGGCCGGAAGGCAATATCGTCTTCGCTTCGCATAACAGAGGCAAATACCTTGGAGCCGCAGATGATTTGGAGGCGCTTTCTTATACGATCGCATTTATGTACAATCAAAACAAGGCGTATTGGCAAATTGCCACCAAGGATCCATGCCAGGCTATTCATCAGAAAGAAAGAAAGCTCACTTATCTCTTTGATGGGCTACCACAAGTATTTCGAGACTTTTTCGAGTATGTGTACGATCTTGAAATCACGGTTACACCTGACTACGAATATTGGCAGGGTCTATTCCTAGAGACTGTGGAAACTTGGTGTTCTCGACTGAGGAAACACCTTCCAGAAACATCGCAAGGAAACCCTAATCATAGCCTTGAGTCTAAACGTGGTGTACGACGTCGAATTGAACAACTGGCCTGGTGAGAAGCAGTTCTAACTGACCTCACAGTCAATAGAATCCCTGTTATCATTGCTTTACAAGTAAATTTTGCTTACTCAAATTTCGTCTTATAAATCTGCATACTAATGCATAATAAAATAGAACTTGCATCAATTACATGTAAAATACTACACGTTCAACAATAAAGGATAATATGTTCTGGCAAATTTTGTCCATAATCATGAAACTTGATTTACTGTTATTACTGTTTCTAATTTATTCCAAAAGAATAAATAATAAGATTTCTATTTTCGACCAGAAATCCAACCAGGCAAACAGGTTTAATGGATTTACCGCTAAAATTATTATATAGGATTACCCGTAGATGGAAAATTATAATTATAATAGTTCGACTGAATTTGAAAAAGCAATACGTTTCTTGGATATAGGTTGCAATTGCGGATGTTCGAAAAAGATTTCGAGAGAAGAGTTTGCTGAATTACGTGAGGCGTTTCAAGCTCTCTCTAGATCTGAACAAGATATATTTTTAATAGCCCAACTAAAAGCAATGAATGGTGGAGAAATAACTGCCAGCCGACGTCTCAAAAAGAAAATGCGTACTAATAAGAGAACTTTTTACTATTGAGATCGCAATACGCCTCTTTGCCAGAAAACGTATCTCAATATGTTAGGAATTGGTCGCATTCACTTCGAAAACGTGAGAAATCATCTAGCAACGAATGGTATAATACCACGCATTCACGGTAACATCAAACGAGTACCGCGATAGAAGACCAAAATAACCATTGATATAACTGTTGCTACAGCCGTGAAGAATTTTCTCGAGAATTACGCTGAAGTACATGGGTTACCAAGTCCTGGTAGAAATGTCAATCGCATTACTCAGTCGCTTACACTTTTGCCAGCCGAAACGAGTTACAAATCGGTCTATCGTGATTTTATTGCAGGCCTCGAAAACGATAGCGCATTGAAATTGTTAAAATATGACGCATTTCGCAAGTTATGACACCAATTAACTCCATATATTCAAATTATGAGTCCACGAACGGATTTATGCGACACATGCCAACATTTTCGGAACGGCTTACAGTATAATGCTCGCAAGGAAGAAGAAGCGAGAGACTTACTAAAAAGATACAAAGAACACCTAATAAAGGCTAAATTAGAGAGAAATTATTACAACAAAAATACGAAATTAGCAGAACAACAAAGAAAATTAATAGATGAGCAGTTTATAATAAGAGATAAAGCTGATTATTGTAGCATTGACGCCACTGCTCATTACAGTTACGATTGAGCGCAAAATGTTCATGTACCCCATTCCGATCAACAAGTAAGTAAAATTTATTATCTCAGTCCGCGCAAAGTGCATTTATTTGGTATTCAAGATGAGGCGGTACGCGAACAAATTAATTACGTTCTCGATGAAGACGAAATTATCGGCAAGGGTCCTAATGGTACACTGAGTATGGTATTCGATGGGATTAAGCGATTGAATAAAGGTGAAAAACATTTAAAGATTACTTGTGACAACGCGGGTGGACAGAATAAAAATAATGCCACTATTTGATTTTACCTGTATTTAGTAATTTGTGGTTACGAAAGTATCGAATTATATTTTATGGTACCAGGACATACTAAATTTAAGTGTGATGGTAGTTTTGGACTAATTAAGAAACTATACCGCAAAACGACAGTAGATTGCGTGAATCATATTGTTGAGGTTGTGAAAAGATCGAGTACAGCTGGATTAAACAAAGCTCAGCGTTATGAAAATGGCAATGGCTTTCAATATTTAGATCTTAATTCCGTGTTAGGAATTTTCTTTAAATAATTAAGTGGTTTACAAAAATATCAACATTTTGTATTCGAAGCAGCTAACTTTGGAATTGTCAAAGCTCAGTTGGTTGCTAATGGTTCGTATACTGAATTTAATTTGTTAAAAACTAGAAAAGCAAATGTTTCCAAAATTACCAAAGAAATTAAATCTTTTCCATTTTAGTTCTAACTCCGCCTCCTTTGGATTACAAAAGACAAGAATATTTTTATCATAATATTCGCCCATTTGTTAGGGATGAATTCAAAAATGTTACTTGTCCACAACCAATTTATACAAAAAATAATTAGAGCAAAATCCTCTCCATTATTTCAATACTTGTTATTGCTGCTATCAAGTTTACCATCTAAATTTTTAGTGACATATTGCTAGCTTTTTCTGCTTTTAATTTGTAAAGCGTAAATAAAAGAAATAATATTAATTATAATTATATTATAAAATAATAAAAGCCACTTAGTTAAAAAATGTTTATTTGTAATTATTGTGAATCAGAGACAACACTGATTTGTCTTCCTACAGAATTTTTAAACACATGAACGGGAACACCAGTTTTGTCGTGGAAAGGAGAAAAGAATGAATTAGTTTGTTCTGCGGTTAAAAAATTGCAAGGACGAGATGTATTTAATGCGGTTGCACCATTTACGGAAAACAAGAAGTGTGCGTGTGGTGTTTTTTGAAAGGCTTGAAGAATTGGAATATTCAGAAACAGGCGAAAAAATCAAATCAAATTTTTATTACATTTACATTTTGAATATTATTAATCAACCGAACGAAGAAATTGTGAAAATCTCGCAAGACATAGGAGAAATTAAACAAGAAATTTCTACCGTTAAAACTCAAGTAGACCAAAACACTGAAAAAGTGGAGAAATTAGAAGATAATAGCAAAAAAATAGATAATCAAAAACAGCAAATCACAAATTTAGAAGGAAGAACAACGAAAGTCGAAGAAAAAGTATTTCCTACCAAAAAACCTCCCAGAACCATATACGATTTCAATACTATTTACCACTGAATAGGCTGACCTGCTTTTTTAATCTCTACTGGTTATGTTATTAAAAAAATTCGTAGGGCGAGAAAAAGAAGAACTGAAACTAAAAATTATTTAGCTGAAATTCGGGCAATATTTAAAGAATGGCAATTAAATATGTATGCTTCCACCGGGGGTTATGTAGTGGGTTTTTATTTAATTAAAGAGGCGATTGATAAGTGAGTTAACCCCCGTATTGGTGGTTGAATTGTTACTCAAAAATTAATTACTATAGTAATAGGGGTAGTCTGTTTGATTATTGGTATTGGATTTTATTTAGATGGTGTTATTACTTCTCCGCTGAAAACTCCACTGCAAAGATTAAGTATTAAAATCGAAAATGCTGATATTGATGAAAAAGTAAAGAAAATTTTGCTCTCTAAAACTCAAAAAGTAAATGAACTTTTTAAAGAGACTTTAAAAAGATTTGGATTGTTAGCCTTGGTTGGTATTTCAACTAAATTAATAGAAATATTCTGAAATAAACATTTTTTAACCCTTCTAAGTTATGCAGTTCCTATTGCTGGAGCCTTCAAAATAATTTGAGAGGTAGATAAAATTTTAAAGGAATTAAAAATAAAGAAATAGATGATAGTGACGATAATATTAATAGTAGTGATATAAAAGAAGATAATGAATTTTAAATTTGCACCAGAGTGACCAAAGAATAGGTTATACTCAGTAATGGCTTTGGGTCCGAGTATTTTCCTCCCATGCAATCACTCTGGTGCTTTTATTATTACTTATGTTTCAAAAGTAATTCAGCTTCTATAAAGATAATAAAATTATGTCTACAAATTGGACTGTCGTTCTGTAATTTTGCTCTTTGATTGGCAATTGTACAAAAGTAATGAAACGCAAATCAAAAGTTCAATGAATGCACTCAAACGGTACTTTACCAACAAGTCAAAAATTGCTTTCCCTTATCTGTCTTCTAATTTTCGTTTTTTTCTTGGTTTATCATAAGTTGGGGTTAATGTTCGTTTAGGGTTTGCTATTTTTCGTTCTTCTTGATAAATTTCGTAAGTGATTTTTTCTGTTTAGATACTCCTGGAGAGTTTGGGTATCATTAATTTTAAAAACATACGAGCAATTTTTTCTCCTTGAGCTTTCTTTAAAATGCTTCGAATGGTGCTGTAATTCTTTGGTTCCATATACATATACATAGTGGATTTGATGTAAATTAGTTTCATATTAATAATTTTATATAGAGATAATCCTATATTAATTCTGTTATGGTTTATATTCATCACATTCTGGTATGATAAAGTGA